CAATTAAGGCGAGGCAGAGCCCGCAGTTTGCAGGGGGATGCCGGGGCCGTGCCGGCTCTCACACAGGAGCCAGAGCTGTAATCATACCCCAGCTTCCTGCTGGGCTACACAGAGAGAAATTAATGGGAGATAGATTGCTACCTGCAGCCCATCAGTAACCAGCGGGGCAGGAGGCAATGCAGCACTACAAGGGAGCCATAACCTGAATTTTCCTCTGCTCTCAGCCCCCTTTTAGGGCAGAGGGACCTGAGCACTAATACCTCACTGCTGCCTGCATTGGGGGTACCCCACAGCCCCAAAGAGAATCACAGAGCCCAGCCTGAGCTTTGCTTGCTGAAGTTAATTCTGGTGGTAGCTGCCCCAAGGAGCCTCACAGTCCAGAGGTGCTGGAGACCAAAGTGTTCCCCAGTAAGAAACTGGACTCGACCTTGAAGGTCTTTTCCAACCCTAATGGTTCTGTAAGGAACCAACCTGAGCTGGTGGGAACTGGTTCTGCTGGGAGATTCTATATGAACACTTCTGTCACTGGACAAATCCTTCCCAACAAGAAGACACAAGTAAAGAATATAAAAGTGGTGCCCCTGTAGCTGTTTGGGGACTGAAGGCCCCAAAGACAGATCCTGACTGTGCAGCAAAAGCACATTTAGGTGGAAGGACAGCAACAAGAACTAAATCCCCCTGTAACCTCATTAACCTTTCAATGAAGGGTTAAAGTCTCAGCATAGGCAGTGGTACAGCAACACAATTTTAATGTCACAGGCATGGATAAATTCCATTCTGTGATGGATCTGTTGCATGAGCAGCTGTGCAGGGCCAGATCTGCTGCCTGGAAGCTGCCACTGGGGTTGGAGCAGTGCTCTGGGCAGAGCCCCAGGAGCCACTGCCTGCACCCATCCTCTGCTCCCTGCTCCAGCAGCAGGAAAAGCCCTGCCCTGGCTGCAGAGCCACACACAAACCCCACGGGCTGAGCTCTGCACTGAAATATTTACGTGCTTTTGAATTATACAGGAAAAAAAAAAAAGCACTCACAAGTCAAGTTTTTACCCTTTTGCCACAGAACTTAGCAATCAAATTGATTGCACCTTTCAAGCTGGTGTAAACCCCCTTCCTGAGCAAAGTCCTTTGCATCCACTTTAGCCAAGCACTTTTTTCTGCAGCTGATATATAAACCTTTGAAAATAAGTTTGAGGGGAGACTGACAACCTTGAAACCTCAAGAGCAGCATGGCATTGACGGGCGCGGCTCCCTGAGCTCAGTATTATAGATAGATTTTAATTTTATTTTAACAAAATAGCTGTCTCCAGTGGAAGAAGCATCAAGAGCTAAATGAGGACCCGTCTTGAGCTGAATCACGTTGAACAGACCTCGGCACTGTCATTGATTTTCTGGGAAGAAAAAAAATGCCTCTGGCTACTAAACCAAATTAGTAGTCACTGATGACCAATTATTTTGCCCCACTGTGAACGGGGAGGCGTACTAAAATTCCAGTTTGTCAGACCCAAGGCTCTCTTCTCAAACGCCTTTCAACAAGCGTGTACCAAAAATCTCTCAGATGGTTCTGATGCCTTCCTGTTTTCGGCAACTTCTCCTTCTCCAAAGTTTTAATGAGCTGCTGCTCTGAGGACAGCCTGCCACAAAGTGAGCCTTTCCGTGCATACTGGACCACTATTTGGCATGGGCACAAATCACAGCTGTCAGGATTTATACACACATACACAAAAAAAGTGTCAGCCTAATGTTTGCAAATTATAATTACCATTTCTCTTGCATGTCCCTGGTGCCTTCATTTTAGATAAATCCCAGCTCTGAGGTATCAGCTGCAAAGCACTGAAGGCTCATATTGAATGGAATAGATTTAACTAGTTTGTAGCTCATTTAAGGCCTACACTGTTTTATTTTAATATTGTTAATACTTTATTATACTTTTTAACACTGTTTTCACAGTAAAATAGCCTATTAGGAGGCTGCAGCTTCTTTTCCAGGGGATGTCTGGCAGACTAGAATTCCACATTGTATAACCAAGTTAGCAGGTGCTTGTCATTTCAGTTGAAAATAGGTCTGTACCCTGACTCTTGAAAGTAAATTATAGAGATTCTATTAAAGAGACAGGAACTGTTTCAGGGATAATAGTTTTGAAAATGTGCACAGATAAATTTTAAAATATTTAGGAAATGTCAGCATTAGAAGTGGCTCCAACTATTTGACTATAAAAGGAAGCAGATGAGTATTTTTTCCCCCTACAATTATAAATAATTTGTTACATCCTATCAGAACTTCTTTGCCTTTCCTTTCTGTGGCAGGGTGCTTGTGCCAAAACAAGGAGATCTGAGTTACTGTGACTGAGATGGGTTTTAATGTGCAATAAGCATTTCCAGAGGATGCTTCCCCTGCTCTCCCTGCAGCACCCGCAGACAGCAACGGCAAAATCCTCCCTGTTCAGGAGCAACATCTGGGCAGGGTGACAAAAGGAAAGGGAACACAGCAGCCATTGATCCCTGTCCTTAAGTAACACCAAGGCAAAAGGACATTTTCCCAAAGGCCAGCTGCAAGTCAGGGCTGTCACACTGCCAAGCAGCGCCGAGACCGGGGCCAAATTCCCCATCCCTCTGCTGAGATCAGGCTTTGACCTACAAAGGAAAAGCCACCTCGCTGAGATCTCTGCAGTCACCTTAAAGAGGTGTTCCCTGATGTCCCCTGCTCTCCCCTGCTCTCTCAGAGTTTCTCTCAAAGGAGGAAAAGCCAGAGGAAGCCTCAGACCCCACCAGGGCTTGCCTGGAGCAGACGAGTCATTCCCACCGATTTGAGAGAGGCAGTTCATGCGTGCATCGTTCCAGGCATGATTCTATACTTTGCTGGATCAGGACTTAAATGTGATTAATCACACGGCAGGGAAGGATCTCTGAAGAGCATCAACCCAAATGTGTCCTTTCAAGCATTTACTTACAAGCCAGCTGTGGACTATCAGTCACCAACTGCCTGGTCCACTGGAGATGGTAAAAGTCACCTCCATAGAGATGGGAAAATACATTCAACTTCAAAAAAAACCCCAAAAATCAATAATCAAAGACTGCACACAAAGGCTTAGTGCTTTCCTGCATCCCTCCCTGCTATTCCTGCACACAGGAAAGCTCCTGCCTTGGAGAGCAAAGGCACAGCAGCAAACAAGCAATGCTCACCATGTGCTGGTGTCAGGAGTACCAACATTTACACCACACTACAAGACTGGAGACTCAAACAGATAATAACACACTTTACCGCTTTGCCACACCTTTTAACCTTTTAAATATTTTGCCCAGCTGTGATCAGCATGAAATGCCAAACTGGAAGGGAAGGAGGGCAAAGAAGAGGGGACAAAGGGTAAATGTCAGCGTTGCCTTTGGCACTACGTGTCTCTAGATAACGATCTGGAGCAGCAGAGCTGATTTGCAAGCAAAGGCTTGAAAAGCCCTGCAGCATGTGATCTATGAAACAGGAGGCCTGCAGAAGGATGTCTCCTCTGATATGAATGTCCCCTTGGGATGGATATTGCTGGATTGCACATCCAGTATCATTAGAAAACACAACCATAGATTAGGCTGTTTTGAAGCATGTGGTGTGCAATAATTAAGTAATAAAAGTCACCACGGGGGTGAAGGAACAAGAAACAGAAGAGTTACTATTTGCATACAGGCTGCTGCCGCCCTCCGTGATCATCAAGGATTCTCCAGGCTGCTAAAAGCTGGCAGCTGTCAATTCTGGATCCACTCCTGCCTGAAGCCACGAAGCACCAGCTCACTCTGTGGCATGTGGGCTCTTTGCAGAAACAGGTGGAGTTGGTGGCCCGGCAGCAGCCCAGCAGCTACCCCAAGTCCCCAGTGTCCTGCAGTTGTTCTGGATAGGCAGGGAAAGCCGTGGCTCTGCTGTGGGAGCTGCAGCTGAGGGCTCTGCAGGCTACAGGGGGAAGCAGAGCTAGAGATGAGAGTTCCACAGTCATCATTTGCTGCCAAGACGGGAAAAGTCCCTCCTCAGCAAGGTGTGCAAGGACAAGGACCAATAAAACTTGAGCTTGAGGTTCTTCATCACTTTCAAGTATTTGCTTCTGGGGGAAAGGAATAGCAGCAGGACCATGGGAATTACTGATTTGCTGTCCCTGCCACTGCCAGGTCTGCTGCCATGGTGGCTGATGAACTATCCTCACTTGCAAGGAGCAAGGCTCAACAGTTTCAGGCTGCAGCTTTGCCACCAGCTGGTCAGGTTAATACCAGCTCAGAGCAGCTAAATGGGGCACTGGCCAACAAGCAACTGCCTTTTTAGACTTTTTCTAGAACCTGGGTCATGTGCAGCTCCTCCCCTCTGCTGTCTCCTCCTTGCTCCCTGAAATCCTCTTCCAAGGTGCAAACACACCTGCTCTGGGCAGCTGAGGCACCAGACCAGGGCTCAGCATTTCAGCTCCCCTGTCTGCTGCAGACACCTGCCCATCTGCATTAGGTCCATTTTTAGCCCTACTCAGACTGCTTAGGACAGCACTTACTCCTCCACCCCATCCATCATTGCACATTTGCAGCCTTTGGTGCACCACCAGAGAGGTTTCAATGGCAAAAGCAGTGCTATTTTAGCAAAACACACTTGGCACCCAGGGGTTCTTCCTCTGGAGGGAATCCAGCCAGAGCTGCTCTCCTGAAAATGCTCTCCTGAAGCTCTAGCAGGGCCCAAAGTTGAGCTGCAGCATGTGGTGCCCTGTGGTCCTTCCAGGGCTCAGACAGAGCTACTGAAACCTGCCCTGTAAAAGGTTGTGCAATGGTTCCAGTCCTGGGGAATGCCCTGGCACAGTTACCACAGGTGTGTGCAGGCTGTGGTGTGTTCACTGCAAATCATTGTGGGTTTGAGGTTTCCTGAGGAGGAGAAATCCTTTCCCAGTGCGAGGCTTCATTCATGATCTCACCCGTCACTTTCCAGGAGCAGAGATGTGAGCCAGCACAAGGAGACAGAGATTAAATTGGTGTCTTTTCAATGTTTTCCAGGCCTCCCACTCCCATGTTTGACATCATGCAACACAGATACAAGGACCTGTGGATGGAGGAGCAGAGAGCCCGGACTAGAGTCCAGCACATGGTGAAGAAAAAGGTGGGAATAGTCCAGCAATGCTTTCCTCTGATGTGCACAGCACCACTGGGCACAACCCCTCACTGTCCTACCCCACAAGGGACAAATGGACTGCTCCCAGCCCTGGGAAGGGCTCTCAGCTGGGAAAACACCCCCCTGACTACTAAAGGGCTGATGAAGCCTAACAAAGATGAGCATCCCCCTGCCAGGCTGTCCTTTGGACTTCAGCTCTGCTCAGGTGACCTGTGACAGTGGCCACAAGAAAGGAACAAGCAGCAAATGCTGAAAAGACAGCCCCAGCCCTGAGCCTGGCAGGGTGAGGTTGATGCAGCACCCACAGCAGCTGTTGGAGTGTAAGGCTGTGCTGTTAAACAAACCAGCAATTGTAATATCATTTAAAAGCAGCCAATGACTGTTTTATTAGTTAATGGCTCAAAGAAGAGTCGGGCTAATATGGTAATGACCAATTTCAATGGGCTTACTGCCATCACAAACTGTGCTTTATAGTTGAAGTGCAGGAATACAATGTCCTTAATTAGCAGCTATTTTATGAATACACCAGCCGGGGACGTTGGAAAGTGCATCCCTACTTTATCTATTAATGACTAATGTTTTTAATCACTAAGTTGCAAGCTCCCAAAGCCTGCAGCCACCAATTACTGAGTTAAGCAACACAAACCTGTATCCTAGACCACAGAGCAGACAGATACTAAGGGTATCCAGGTGCCTGCACTGGCTTGTGCTGGGATTATTGAGCACTGTGACCTGAAATTAATCAGGAGAGCCAGGAAACCCCAGCATGGTGGGGGTGCTGGAAGTGACTTTCCCAGTTAGGGATGAGCCATTGCTATAGCTCAGGGCTTCCAGTGGGCAGCAGTCACCTCCCTGGGATGCTCTATAAACTGAGAGCTGACAGCTGCTCATGTGTTTTAACTATGAGCATTGGCTGCATGGACATGGAAAACTCCCCAGATCATGGAATTGTGATCATCACCCCAAAGCAACTTCTGGCCTCGTCCATCCCAGTGTCACTGCATTGTTTGACACAGAGCTGATGTGCATGGCTGTGCAGCAGCTTGAGCCACTGGTGTTTCTCTTTGGCTGCAGAAAAGAGAAGTGCAGCAGTTTGAGCCATGGGTGCTTCTCTTTGGCTGAAGACAAGAGAAGTGCAGCAGTCTGAGCCACGGGTGTTTCCCTTTGGCTGCACACAAGAGAAATGAAGCAGTTTGAGCTATGGGTGTTTCTCCTTGGTCACCACAAGAGAAGTGCAGCAGTTTGAGCTCACTTGTGTTCACCTTTGGTTGCTACAAGAGACGTGCAGCAGTTTGAGCCCACTCTTGTTCACTTTTGGCTGCAGACAAGAGAAGTGCAGCGGTCTGAGCCCTGGTGTTTCTCTTTGCTTGCAGATCGGCGAGGTGCGCGAGAACCGCACCACGTTCCTGCGCACGCACCCGCTGCCGGTGAAGGAGGAGTCCTTCTGGCACCCCCGGCGCTACGAGAAGGTACAGGCCCCCACAACCCATCCCCTAACCAAAGACAACTTTCTGGGCCTCTACAAGCACCTAATTGAAATCAGGGACACTCTCCAACCTTGCTCATGTGTCCCAATAACATCCTTAGCACACAATGAATGAGGTTCTTAACTCAGAGCTCCCCATGGCCCGGACCTTAAAATGGTCCCAGATATGTTCAACCATCAGCCCCTTTTGAGCATCAGGGTGGGATGTTTTTTGCCAGCCATAAGTCCTGGAAGAGAGGCAGCAGTTGTCCAGACAATAACATTTTTTAATGTCACAATTTTTCTGTCACAAGCTTCCTGAGATGAGAAACATCTTTTTATATCTCACTGTCAGTACAGGGGTGGCCTTTGCTCTACAAGTGCCCTACACAAGCAGGACAGTCACACCTGCATTCAGGGACCCTGCCATTTCATCAGCTCTCCCCATAACTAATTCACTCCACACCAGATGTTTCAAGAAGCTTTTCCACCCCAGGATTAGAGTTTTCCAGAAAGCTTGCACTCTTGGTACCTCTCTAAACTACCTGATTGACAATATTCACCCCGAGACAAAGCAAAGGGTCTGGCCAGGTTAGAGATGTCCTTGACACTTCCTTTAATTGATCCAAGTAAGAGTAAAGGTGAAGATTTCTTGTTCTAGTGATGGGATCTAAACATCTCCCTGAAATCATCTGTGCTACCTGCTGTGCTCTGGGTCCTTGTTAGAATTCCATTAGCTTTGTTTGTGGTGTAAATTATATGGAAACTTCCCAAGAAGAACTAGGGGGGATTTTAGGAGAGGGGAAAGAGCTGGACCAGTGGAATGGAAAGGAGACACCAGAAAGTGAAAGCACTGAAACCCTGCAGGGAATTTTTTTTGCAGGGGCCAAAACCATATTTGGCATTGATAGACACCACTGCAAAAAGCTCTCAGCTCTCTGTCCTGGACCTTCTTCTGGTGGGGTTATTTTTTTTTTGCCACTCTGTTGATTTCTAACCACAGTTTAAACAGCAAAGAAGCCCTGTGGTTTCCTGAAGGTAATTTACTTGTACAAGTTGGAGAGTTTTGCCCAAGAAATGTGCTTTGCACCACCTTGATGTATTCCTCTCCTGTCCTGTCTAAGAGTGCCCGATTAGCATATGTCAGTAATCATTTATCCCCACTGCCTGTCAGCTCGGAGCTGCACGGCAGCGCGAGAACATGACCGATCGCTGTTAAACAGATTGTGAGAGTCACACGAGATCCTGGGGCAAGCCTCCTCTTTAGAGCTCCTCTCACCCCAGACCTTTCCATCACTGCTCATTTTTCAGCCTGGGTTTTGCTTCGTGCTTTCCCTTTTGTTTCATCCATGGCTGTGGTTGGGTTCCTGCCCCAGCTGCAGCTCTCAAACCTTCAAATCTTTCCTTCTTCTCTTTCTCCTTTTTCTTCTTCTCCCTTTCTCTTCCTTCCCAGAAGTGGCATCCAGGGAGGAGGGACAGCTCACTTTGCACAGCCTCTGCAGATTTTCCACACTCCTCCTTTCTCATTGCATTACCATGGAAGGTTTGTCTTTCCCCAGTTGCAGATTTAACAGGCACAGCCCACATTAGAACTTGGATCAAGGAATTTGTTACTCACTTGACCTTCAGTGCATGGTTTCCTCCATGGAAAAATAACTCCTCTTGAACATCCATAAATGTTTACCCAATTAAAAGCAGTAACAACCTGGAGGAAGTTAAGGATTCCCAAAGATATTTGGTGGTCTCCAAACTGTTCTTTAACTACTCCTCTAAAGGAGGGTTCTACAGAGATGATGGAATGGTTTTGAACGCCAGACTGACCTAACTCAGGGACTCCAGGAGTCAATGTCAGTCCCTCCTTTACTGAGGTGACAAATGGCCAAAACACTGCCTCTAATCCATGTAAAAACTTCGTCCTACTGTGCAAGAAGAATGTGAAAAGCAACCACAAAAGTATCACCTCGCAGAAAGCTTGTTAGCACACTCCCTCTTCATATTTCTTTGGTGGCTTTGTCCTGCACTGACCAGTACAAAAGATGCTCATGACTTGGGAAATACTTCAGACCCTGGGCAAGAATATTCAGAGACTCCATTGCCTGGCCACAGCCTCACTTTAAACTTTATTTCCATGTGCTCCAAGGCAGGTGTGAGGTGCAGGAGTGTGATATTCTCAAGCCACCCATCCTTCTGGTCACTCAGTCACCTCATAATAACACCTTTCAGTCTGCCCTGCTCTGGGTCTGAGGGGGGCAACACCCACATGCTGAAATAGTTATAATCCAAAACAGGGGCAGCAGGAAGGTGAGATTTTGTTCTTTAGGCCCATAAAAATCATCAAGAATGATTTATTTTATTCCGACCGTGACCCCTGACAGAGAGCAGCAGAAACTGGGCATGGATATCTCTGCTGGCTCTTAAACTGGGCTTTCCATTCAGTCCCTGGCACCATGAAATCTTGCCCAAGAATTGGAAGAGAAGAAAACAAAGGAGCTTTTCCCTCCCCACTAATTGCATCTGCTTGCTCCCTGCCTTGCTAGAGCTGCATGACATTACATAGTCATTCAGTCAGTAAAGTATGGACAAATTGACTATATTTTCATTTGGATTTAGGTTTCAGCCCCACTGCTTTAGAATAATGGCCCACACTGTTAAGCTAACTGGGTGATTTGCAGGCTCTCCCACACCGGGTGCTCCTGCTGTCTCTCTGCAGGACTGACCTGGCCCGAGGTCTCCTGGGCCCCCCAGCTCACCCAGGCAAGCAGGTCACAGGGAGCCAGTCCTGTCCTGATGGGCAGTTCATTAGGGAAAGTTGCTGCATCCAAGTGGCTTTTTATTTATTTTTTTAACTAAACCAAGCAGATGTTAACTCCTTACTCACCTCAGCAAGATGCTTTTACTGCCCTCCTCTTCCTCAGCCACTCCCAAAGCAAACAGCCTCTGCCGTGATACAATTTCAGGGCTCAAGTTTTGCCAGCTTGGCTGGGACTGTGCCCCAAAATTTAATTTATTTGTAGATGTGGGACCACATTCCCGGGGGATTGTACTCCCAGGCACCCAGCATGGACATAAGTCATAGAATGGTTTGGGTTGGAAACGCACCTTGAAAATCATCTTGTTCCAACCCCCCTGCCATGAGCAGGGACATCTTCCACTTGACCAGGTTGCTCAGAGCTCCATCCAGCCCAGCCTGCAACACTTCCAGGGATGAGGCAGCCACAGCTTCTCTGGGCAACCTGTTTCAATGCCTCACTACCCTCACAGGGAAAAAAAATTTCTAGTATCTAATCTAAACCTACTCTCTTTCAATTTGAACCCATTCTTCCTTGTCCTGTCACTCCAGGTTCTTATCAATAGTCTTGCCCCATCTTTCCTGTAAGTTCCCTTCAGGTCACCCCAAAGCCTTCTCTGTTCCAGACTGAATAATCCCAATTCTCTCAGCCTCCTGTCCCTCACATTTGTCCTGTCCCTGTGTCACTCCTCACCTGCTGTCTCAGGCAGAATTGTGTCAGCCAAACTCTGGGAAGGACACTGCTGCCCAAAGGTAGCATGTCCACCTGTGCCAGGCCAGGGTGAGGCTCCAGCCACCTCCATCTGAACGTTTGATAGTCACTATCCAAACCAGTAAGTCAATGTTGGCCACCCCCAATATATTTCCAGGGCTCTATCAAGTCAAGAAGGATTCAGGCAGCAACAAAGCAGCAACACAGGACAGAATTCACCAATGTGTCAAAACAGCTCCGCGCACCTCCTGTCACTGACACACACCAGGGTTCTTCCTTTGCTCATTAGAGAATCCCAGCTCACAGACACACTCAGGTGGCTTGTTTACTTGACCAAGCAAGGGGAAGGAAAGGAAATGCAGCAACTTTGGACAAGACTTTTGTCACCGTGCGCTGCCTCCCTGAGCAGATGAAACGCGCGGCGCGGATGCGCGATATGAATAAGCGATAAGCAATTGACGAGCAAGTGTTCGGGTACCTTGGCAAAAGACTTAATTTGCAACCTGGCACAAAATCAAAGGCTCTGTCAACGGCTGAGCGGCTCTCCTGCGTACGCCTTGCATTACCTGGGAAAGCTCTGTCAGGTAAATTTCCACTGAAAGTAATTAGAGGAATCCCCACTGTATAAACTTTGCAGCAAAAATTCTGGGCTCCGGAATTTGATTCTCACCAGGGATCCGATATCTGCTCACAGCCTGATCCTTCGTCAGAATTAACAGCTGAGGTTTAACACGTACACACAAAAATGTTCTGCATTTTTTTTTAATGCCTTACCTCTATTTTTGTCTATGGAGCTGAACTGACAAGCACAGCTCATGTAATCTTGCAGCTGTTGTCTTGTCAGAAAAGCCACAGATTCTGCTTAAATAACCTGGGCTTGGTACGCACAGCACACAGGGCTGGCTGTTCAGGTGCAGCATTGGTCCTCCTGGGTTTGAGGGCAGAAAAACTTCTGGGACATGGAGTGCTATAAAACTCATCTCCTGGGGCCTAAAGAGTGCTTAAATAATAAAGCAATGAGTTCAAGAGCTTCCTGTCACCACACTACCAGATCAATCCTCCCTTCAGCTGGGACTTTGGCTGACCAAAAAGAATTAAAATCAGTGTCAGCTGATGGTTGTTCAATGGCCCAAGTGACACGAGCTGGTGGCTCCCAGCCCTGCAGTAACAATCCAAAGCAGCATCACTGGCCTGTGGCAGGCACAATGCAAACAGAGACCACAACACCCTGCGGGGCTCCAAACAGGCAGCACAGACTCAGCTGCCCTGGGCATGATCCCTGCACATCTCCTCTGGGCCCACAGCCACTCCATGGCTAACTGCAGGCTCTGGGCCCCTGTCACCATCACTGCATTTACTTGCAGATTCTGGAGGTTTTCTTGATTTTGCCTCCACAGTCAAAGATTCCAGCAATACAATTGATCAAATCACAGCAAAGCATTTTCATGAGCCAGGTTTTCCCACTATCCCTTGTGCCCTGAACACTCAACCTCTCATCCCATCCAATGTTGCCCTCTGTCACAGAATATTTTGGCTTGGAAGGAATATTTAAGGGCCATCTAGCCCAGTTCCCCTGCAGTGAGCAGGGTCATCCTCAACCAGATTGTGTTTCTCAGAGCCCCATCCAACCTGACCTTGACTGTTTCCAGGTATGGAGCATCCACCACCTCTCTGGGCAACATGTCCAAGTATTTCAACACCCTCGTTGTAAAAAACTTCTTATATCTTATCTCAATTGACGCTCTCTTCGTAAAAACCATTGCCTGCCATGCTCAGCACTTCCCTCAGAGACAGAGTGACCATCACTCCTGTGCCATTTCCATTGCTCTGACATATCCTGATTGACACAGGAAAACAACAGCCTCCTGTGCAGCTGTACAGCCTCGATCATCTCCAGGGCAGGCCCCAACTACAACCAAGCCCCAGCAGCCAGAGGCAGCACAAGGAAGAGTTGGCAGCCAATTCCCATTGCTCTTCTGGAGATTCTCACCCACGAAGGAAGAGATTTTGGGTGCTCACAGCTTGTGGCAGGGTGAAACCACACACGCTGTGTTGGGTTATGGGTGAGCACCTGCCATTGCTGCCAGTGCACAACTCCATGGAAATGTGTTTTAAATGGGTTTGGGGTTTCATTCATGGCCCCGTTCTGTCTTCTGCAGAGATGCTATTTATCAAGATAACTTTAAGTAAAACTCTTGCCTGGCATGAAAAGGGTCAGGATTCAGATGTCAAGCACACGAGGTCAGTGTGAAAGCTGCCAGCTCTGGTCTGACCCTGAAACATCTGCCAGGGAGGTGGGGGGCACACTCCAGGTTACAGCTCCAGTGCGTTAATTCTTCTTTCCTCATGCTGTTGTCCAGACCAAGTGACCAGTGAACCCCAGCAAATATCTGTGGCTATTATTTTCAGGAAGAAAAAAACCCACAAATCTCTATAGGACATTAAATACAGCAGCCCAAAATCTCCAAGCACTGTTTGAAACCTTCCTGGGCTTGAAGCAAATAAAGATCATTTAGCCCAGGCTCCCTCATCCTGCATTTCTCTCTGTTCTTAGAAAGGTGGGGAGAGAAAAATCAACCCCATTCGTTAAGCCAGTTAAGCACGCTCCTGGCAGGAAAAGCCACATTATTTGTAACCCTAATAATCCAACACTCACCTCTGAGCACAGCTCATCTTGGACAGAATAACGTCTGTTTTAAAAGTACCTGCCTCTCTCTAACTTGTCATGGCATTTGTTGACAACCCTATTGAAAGCCGCTCTCGATGCGGCTGTGAAGGATCTTTCAGCACCTCTTTCTCTTTCCTAGACAGTTTTTGAAAGGGAGGGGAGAAAAAGAAAAAAGCCATCAATACAGGGGGAAAAAGGCATCAGCAGCCAACATCGGCTGATGAAGCGCCTCACCTGGGCCCCCAGCACACCGCCTCCAATTAAATCAAAATGGTTTGTTTTTAATGGTCTTTTACACTGACAAGTGGGCTATCATTCCAGGCCTAGAGAGCTGTCAGGGAGCCGAGGCAAATCCTCCGTTGATAATGCCCAATGCTTCCAATTAGGAACCGAGGCCGCTGCTGGCGCACTAACGATTCCCCAGCCTCCCCAAGGCCCCTTCGGCGTTGGCTGTTTGGTCTTGGCTCTTCCTCCGCCGCAAATTACTGACACAAAACGGAGGCGCCCCGGTGCCTCCTCACCACGCCGGGCCCCGGCCCTGTTGGATTTAATGAGGCGATGGAAGTTTTTGCGGATCTTTCGCTAAATTCTTTTCTTGTTTGACAGCTGCTTGAGTGTTGACCTTATAAAAGATTTAGTGTTTCTCATTATTTTCTGTCAAGCTTTACAAGCGGTGGCTTGGCGGAAAAATCATTTGCATCTCGATGCGTGCGTGCGCGCGGGGTGGGTTTTTTTATTTTATTTTTTATTTTGTCTGTACAGGGATGCTCGGCACGCTGAGCGCAACCTACCCCTCTCTGTATTGTTTGTTTTACTCCCTCCTCCCTCCCTTTCCTGAAAAAATCCACTGTTTTGTGTTGTTTTGGAAGAAAAAAAAAAAATAAGCCCCAGGATTTGTTAGACTCCTGTAAATGAAGGAGGTTTGGGAAAGGAAAAAAAAAAGAAAGAAAGAAAATAATAGAGATTGGTTTCCTGTAAAGTGAGCACAGGAAAGTGTTTTGTCACCCGCTAAAAGGATTCGATCAAATGGATGATGGAGGAAGCAGGCTGAGTCCCGGTGCAGCTTTGTTGTTAAAGTGAAAAATGGTGCAAGGCTGGGGAGCTGCCTGGAGCAGCTGGGCAGAGCCAGGCAGGTGCTGGGAGAGGAGCAGGGACAGCCAGGTCTCCATGGATCCTTCCAGGCCAGGGGGAGAGCCTGGTGCTGTTCATTACTTCCTTCAGGCTTCTCCATGGGTTCTTTCTCAAGTCACTAGAAAGCATTAAACACAGCTCTAGTAACTAAAACTCCCCCCTTAAGCTGAGCTTATTTTGCACCCACGGTGGCCCAGCAGCCACAAAACCCTGCTCAGTCTCTGGGGTTTGCTGCCATCAGGGGAGCTCTGACCTCCCTGCATCTCACCTGCAATTTATCAGCCCTCAATTAACACACATGCCTTAATGTGTCCTCCAATTTAACACATCATTATAACTATGAAACTCTAAAGATAATACCCTCCAAATACATATTAAAGTTTTAGGAGTGGTCATTATTTTTCTTGCCCCTCTAATTCTGTGAAGCAAACACCAACACAACGCCCCAGCTGCAAGGGTCCTGCAGGTTTTCATTTGTCAATAATAAATGAAACGAACAGCAGCAAACATTGCTCCTCAGCAGCAGCTGGAGCCCATGGCAGCTCCATCATCCTGCAAGGAAAACCTTTCAGCTTTTTCCTACAAGCCATATTCCTGTCCTGCTGCAGCCAGTGCTCCAAACAAAACCCTGGCATTAACAACCCATAACTGCAGCAGAGTAATGACAAAGATCATCAGCTGTCTCTAGAGGAGGTACCTTTGGGTTCATCATTTAAAATAGGAATTAGAAGAATCAGAGATGAGGATTCATCACTGGCATTGACTGCTCAACACCAGTCTCTGTCATAAAAAGACCTTTGACCCAAGGACACCCTTATCTGGACTCTAATGACTGGGAAGGTTTCTCATTTTTTACAACAGCACTTGCCCCTGTCCTACACCTGGTGCTCCCCACTCACTCATGCTCAGGGCAGGAGCTGGCATCCCTCACAACTTCCTCAAGGCTCTGCTCACTTTAATTACTGCCAGTTGTGGCTCAGTGGGACATTTCTCACCCAGGAGCTTTGTACCGAGATTGGAGTGAATAAACTGCTGTTTCCTCTCCTGTGGCATCACCCCCATCCCAGGCAGAAATGTCCCTGTGCCCAGTTCCCAGTGCTGGTGGATGAGGGAGCATGACAGGAAGGCAGAGGAACATTCAAGAGAAGCAGCTCAGCTGTCCCTACCTGCAAGCACTGGATTTTTTTCTAAACATCCCAGCTGCAAAGGAAAAACTGCTGCATCTTTAATGGCAGGTTGGAGTTGGAACAAGCAGGGATTGTCCCTGCCAGCTCTCAGGGGTTACCCACCTCCTGCAGCAGCCCCTGCTTCTGCCTTCCCCACCTCTCCCTCCCCAGGAGGGGTTATGTCACTGCTGCTATTTGTGAGAAAGCAAAAACATCCAGAAACAGCTGTCTGAAGTTAGGCACTCAAATGCATATTTAAGTACCTGAACGCCTTCCTCCAGAGAGGGGGAATAGCTAAATACGCTTTGTTTGTCTTGATTAATGAGATCACTAGCAAGCTTTTCAGGGCAAAGACTGCTCTGTATTTTTACATATGCAAAACCTGACATCCAGCCAGCCTGAGCAGGGTGGATGGGGGAAGTGGGAGGCAGCTCAGCACAGGCACACAGGCAGATGTATGGCACAGGGAATTGTGCTGGGAGCCCCCCATGGAAAACACCACAGTCCCAGTCACTGCATCTGCCGTGCAGGTTTGCTGCACACAGCTGTGTGTGAGCCCCACTGCTCACCCCAAAGGGCCCTGGCACCTCTCTACCCCCAGATTACTTCCCTTTTGTTTGTTGTCATGGGCATTTTTTCACCCTGTCCTCACTCAAAGGTGATTCCTGGGGAGATGCTGCTTTTTTTTGTTTTTAGGGCAGGTCATGTAAGAGCCCCTGACCTCACCAGGGACTTCTCTGGGAGCTCTGAGCCCATCCTGGCCCCTCAGTGAAGCACCCAAGCCCAGTGCTGTAGAAAACAACTCATATTTACTTCAGGGCCCACCTTAGGGCACTGCAGCCTTTGAAAATGTCAGACAACAAACACACCATAATAAAACTATAGGGTCTTGATGCTAGAGCAGGATCAGAATCTCCTGAAGTCAATCAGAAAGCTACTCCTCATTTTAAGCAGGTTAAGTGTTTAACTTCAGCTGGAGACACATCTCCCAGTCAGGCAAAAGCCCTTGTGCAATCTGCAGTCTCCTCCCTGTCTGTGCTTCAACCTATTTTCTGTGGCTGGCTCCTGGCTGTAACCAATCCTCTCTCTGCTCCTTTCCTCATAGGCTGAGCCTCATCTCAGGACTTTTCCAGACCCTGAATCCCGTCAAAAGGCTCTCAGTGCCTCCCACTGAGGAGTGCCTGTGAGCTGTCCCCTTCCCCAGAGGACCCCCACAGCAAGGATGGTGCTGGGCACAGCCCTTGGACCCTGGGATTCCACATGCAATAGACTTTCTCTCAGGTTTTACAGAGTTATGCTAATGCAGATATAGCCAAATAAATCATAAATATAAGAGGAACAATTCTGTCTCAGCCTGTTCATTTCTTTGTGTCAGGTGCACAGCACAATCCTGATGATATTGGGAGCAGGGCAGTGCTCACACCAGCACAGCCCCACAGAAAGGCAGGACAGGCTCCTTCCCTGCTGGTTCTGGACAAATAGATTGGATACAGCCACATCCTAGCTGATATCAAATCTGTAATATCTCATCAGGCCTCATTTCTTTGCCAGAAAAGCTTCCCATCAGTGCCTGATTCAGCAGAGCCATTGCCTGTGTGAAGGAATTCAAACACCTGCTTTGAGTGCTCTGCCAAACTGGGCCTCACCACAGGCACTGCCTCTGCTCTGAGGTGGCTCCAGCCAGCTTCACTCACCCTCCAGCAGCTGCTGGTGCCTGCAGTCCCTGAGGGCTGAGCCTGTCCAAGCACTCACTGAACAAACTCAAACTCTACCAACATCAACTCAACCCACAGGCTCAGTCAGGAACCAACACATTTGGAATCCATCTTCCCCCAACAGAGCATTTCACTTCAAGTAACACTTGGTTAAAAGTGCCATTATTTAAACTGTGGATCTCCATTATCACTAAAGGAATAATTGATATCTCTTACACAGTCTGCTTCTCACATCTACCATTACAGCTCAGAGTTACCAGCTTTTTAAGCCAATCTATCTCCCAATTTTCATATTCTCTCTCCCATTGGTACTTGGAAGGCTCAGGTGTGTTCACCCCAGAGCTCTGGGAGGTGGCATCTGCTGTGCTGGGCAGCCCCAACTGCATCATGAGCTCAGGTGGATGTGCCAGCATGATTTTGCCCCCCACACCTTGGCACTGGGATTAGCCCAGCCACCAGCAGCCAAAGGACATGAAAAACCCACACTGAGCTCAGGGCTCAGTGCCCCTCATATTTCCAGCCAAACCTTTAACCCCAAACCTCAACGAGAAGAGCTCTTTATAACATTACACTGCATTGCTCAAGATGAAACAGCAAAGTAAATTGCAAAGTCAGCTTTTATTTTTACCCCTCAGGACAAGGAAGGCTCCCCAGGAGCTGCTCCAGCATTTCCCACACCCCTCCTTAGGGTACCACTTGTACCTCAGCCTGCCCTTTTATAAGGAAGGAGCTGTAACAAACTCCCCCTGCCCACATCTGAGCTGAGGGAGGAACAAAATCACCTGCTCCACACTGGGAAAACCCTGGTACCTGGTTGCCTCTTTTTGGTACAGGCCTCTAAATAAAACCATCCAAAATAGTGAGGGGGATAACAGCAGGGCTTGCCAAGCTGGCAGAGGTGGATTATAACCAGAGACCTTCCCCACCTCCCCAGGGAAGGAGGAAGCTGGGCCTTAAGTGACTTGTCTTGCCAAAAATGACACTGTTTATGAGAGTGTGAGAAACCCAGGCACGGGGTTTGTCCTTCTGCCTGCTGGGAGCCACATCCAGCTCTCAGCCCAGCCACAGCATCCCTGTCCCCCTGCAGCAGCCACCGAGGTCCCTGGGGTGTGCTCAGAGAAGGAAGCACGTCCAGAGAGTCCTGCCGGGCTGGGAAGGGCTGGCACAGAAACAGTGTGAACCAAACCCCTGCAGAGCTGCTGCTCGGGACAGGAGCAGGAAACCAGCAAAGAAACCAGAAACCCGAAAATCATCCGACAAATCAACAAAGTACGTTCAGGAGACACCTCTGAGTGCGGCTCAGAGCCGACGGATCTGACCACGAAATGCTGGGCAAGGTGGTGCCCCAAACGTCCGTGGTGTCACAGCTCGGATGGGCAGAGCCTGCCCTGGCACCCACCGCCCCCCGGCCTGCCCTGCCCGTCCGAGCCGTGAGCCCGCGTGTCCCGGCCCCGCGCCGCCCCCGCTCCTTGTCCTGCAGTGACACCCACCGGTAACGGGCTTCCACCGCCGCTGCAGCGGCCCCGGCTCCTCCCCGGCTGGCTGTGCCCCCCTTGCTGCCTCTTGCCCCCACCCCGAGCCCCCCTTTCTCTCCTGCCGGTGCGTTTGGTTACCGGAGCATCCCGGCGGAGCCCGAGCATCCCTCGCTGTTCCTGCTGGGCTCGGCCTCCCGAGCACCCAGCCGCCCTTCAGGAGGGGTTCCTCCTTCAGCCAGACCTTTCCAGGACAGCGGGCTGTGCAGATATTTCTGGATTAACCCTTGCTCAGTCACCGTCAGAGCTCAGCAGCCCCTGGCGCAGCTGTGAAGGGGCTCCGCAGCCACCCGGGAACACCGGGGTCAGCCCTGTCCCTTGGCCCCAGGGCCAAACCTGCGCTGGTGACAGGAATCAGGAGAGCCCAGCACCCGGCAGGGTGGGAACAGCAGCTCCCAAAGCTGCCACGATCCTAAATCCACACTGGATTGTGACTGAGGCTTGTGAGGAGGTGACTGTGAATGCAGTTGGCATAAGGGGTCTCCTCCTGGCTGATTGTTTGGGAATAGGAACAGTCTGAAAATCGGGGTTTAAGGGCAGGCACACAGAGGGAAGGAGTGTGCACTGCTCCGTGGTCTGTGCACAGGATTTCCTGTTTCTGCTGGGAGCCAAAAAAAATCCTTGGATCCCCACCTGTCCAGGGTCTGGTGATGTAGGACATGGGCAGAATGGGGCACATTTCTGCCTTGGGGAGTGTAGCTCTGAAACAACTTAATAAAACAATAGCATTAATAATAATAGTAGTAATAATAATTTTAGTGTCATTAGAACATGAGTAGCAGTGCATCTGTAGCTGCTGGGAGCCCCAAGTGTGGCCTAGGAGTGACATATGTGCTCCCAGGGCCTTGGCTGGGCATGGCACCTGCTCTGGGAGAAGGGCTGTACACCACAATCAAATACTCCCAAAACCTTGCACATCATCAGGGAGTTGGTCTCATCTGGGTGCTTTTTTCAAGAGCAAGCCTCACCAGCCCAAACCTGTCCCTGCATGGCTGATCCAAATCCTGATCCTAATCCCACTCCCAGCCCTGCTGCCTTTCCCACTCCCATTCCTGGTCCTAAATAAAACCTCAGCGCTGGTCCTGATCCCAGTGCAAATTTCCAACCCAAATGTGGTCTCCTGGTTGAACAGGGAGGCTCCCAGAGCCCAAGAACCAACACAAGCACTGCCAGGAGCTGCCAAACCCCATCGGGGTCTCAGCACCATTTCTCACCAGCACCACTTCCTGCACACCCATTGCTCTACCCCGGTCCAAGGGGACACTTGGCCCAGCCTCGTGGATGGGGGACACTGCAAAACTGACCTGGCCCCCATCCACATCCACATCCCGGCTCTCTGTGCTGGGGGGGAGACAGGGCAGAGCAGCAGCAGGAACCCCTCAGCAGGGGCAGGGAGGCTGAGCAGCCCTCAGCACGAGGTGGGGACAGGCTGGGACCGGGGCTGGTGATGCTGATTTTGTTCCTGGGCTTGTCCTCCTCTAAAGTTCTTTTGTTCCGCTGCCCCGATCGCAGCCGGCCCCGAGCTGCAGGGCCGAGGGCAGGAGGTGCTGGGGGCCCTGCCTGCGCCGCTGCCCGACAGCTGGCAGCCGGGCTTCCCCAGGGGGGCTCTCCCCTCCTTGGTCGCCTCCAAGCTGCCGGCCAAGGGCGGCTTTGGAAGAGGGACAAGATGCAGCTGACTGGCCGGGAAGGTGGGAAACAGAAGAAATCGAGTATTTGAGAAATAACCAGCGACATCGCTTTAAAGTGACGCAGCTTCACGCACCCGGCTGTGGACATTTTCCTATCGCCGCGGCGAAGGCTCTATCCACGGGAAAAACCCCTAAATAAACCCTCGAGGAGACAGCAGCCAGTCTGACCGCCAGGAAGGTGGGAATCCTGCGTGAGCCTCTCCAGCCTGGGAGAACAACAACAGCAAACCCCCGACGGGGCGGGAGGGAGGAAAGTTGGTGTCCCCGGCAGAACCGGGCAGGACGGGGCAGCTCTGCCTGAGGCCATCGGTGTTTTATTTAAAATGCGATTGACGGCAGAAAAAATCCGCTCAGAGTGCGGTCCGTGCCCAGTTGCACCAGCGGGTACCGCGGCTGGGCGCTGGCAGAGCGGTGCCCGCTCCTCGCCGCTCCGGCAGCGCTGGGCGGGGGTCGCGGCTGCCCCGGCGGCCCCGTGGACCTCTCTGCTCGGCCACAACCGATTTCCAGGGCATGCAACGAAATTCGCAGCTCCGAGGCTCATCTCGGGCTCAGAGCAGCCGCCTCAGTGCTGTGGGTTTTGGGAGGTTTCGGTGCTTTTTCGTTCCCTTTTTTTTTTTTTTCTTTCTATTTTTTATTTTTCCTGAATTTTTTGTTTTTAATTTTAACGCCCAGCAAAACTTTCCCTGCTCGGGAGGGAGCGACAGATCAGCTAATTACGGGGGGAAACGCACAGAAAGCAGTAACCCCTCGATAACCCACCCAACCCACACTCCCCCTCCCTCCGCGGCTAATCATCCCATTAAGAGCCCCATCAGCGGGATAATGACAGCAAAAGAGGGCGGAAACCGCCCGGAAAGCGCGGGGATCCGGACCACAATTAATTCCCGTTAATCAAGCCCCGAGGTGTCGCCTGTTGGGGAGTGACATCCCCCAAAACGCCGGGCGGCCAATGGGCGCGTTCACACGGGTGGGTGGGGGGTGCGGGGGTCCCCCAGCCGGAGCTGCCCAAGTTCAGCTTTTTCTCCCCATTTCCCCCGTTCCCCCCCGGGGAGGGCGCGGCTCTCCCGCCGCTGTCCGAGGTGCTGAAGGCACCGGAGCGGCTCCGGCGCTGTCCGAGGTGCTGCGGGCTCCGGAGTGACTCCGGTTTTCCCCCCGGAGCTGTCCGAGGTGCTGGCGGGGAAGGGGGGCGCCGCGGCGGCCCGGCGACTGGCCACCCCCTCCGCCCTCCCCTCGCCCTTCCCCATTGATTTCTGGATCATTAAGTGGTTAAGG